GAGTAATGCAAAAACTGGATTATACCAGGGGTGAAAAACATTACGTGATGCTTTTAAACAGTAAAATATTGCTGTGTAAATAAATGTCATGGAACATATTGTATTTCACAGTGGTAAAAGATATCCAATAAATAAAATGAAAAACCTCGCATGGTCTCAAAATACTCATAAACATGTCACAGCTGACTAAACTAAACTTGGGGGACACTTAATGGAATAGTTAATAACTAGGCTAGTCTATTTAGCAAAGTCTAACTGCTTTATTAAAATATACAATTTTAGAATGTTACAGTTAATCACCAAAAGCTGTAGGCACTTTCACTTTATGATTAAGTAAATGAAAAAGTATCCAGTAATATACTGCTTATTTTAATTAAAGTAAAAACATTATGACGCAACACAATTGATAAACAAAGCACAAATAAACTGTAATCATGTACGCCAACTCAATGTGACTTCTAAAAATGTTGAGTTCCTTTATAAAACAACTCATAGTTTTGCAAATTGGGCCCAAAGATCAATTTTAAGTTGTAGGTATTGGCACTATTTTCATGGAGGACATGAGAAGTTGCCACCATTTATATGAAGAGGCAGCATCATTTCAAAAATGGCACAGTTGTTGCAAAGATTAATCATTAGTTATATTTAAAAAAAACTTTATTCAAGGTGCCACTAATCAATGATGCAATTCACCTCTACTATAATACCATACACAACAAATGGCCGTTTAAAAGACTGGGAAATACGAGAGGCAATTAATTCAATACAGCTGCCCAAGTCGTAAAATGTGTTTATTGAATAGAAATCTCACATGACACATATTGCTTGCAGTACTGTGTCAGTGGCGGTGTACACATTATAAGATGAAATGAACGGAGCTGAAATAAATAGCAATGGGTAAACACCAAAGACATGAGCACATGTTGGAGACACACAGTACCATGTATTACAAGTGGTTTTCTACATTTGCATCAGTCATTACCGACCATGCAAATCTCCATATCAGGCTGAAGGAGACCAAACAATGGTTGATCTAGGAGGCCGTTATATAATTAGGACCTCACTGATGGTCATTAAAACTGACGACTATCCATAAGTCTCGAAATACATCAGCAGCACCACCTTGTACACCACCACTATCACAATGTTACTACCTTCATCCCACCATAGTAGGTACTTGGTGAAAATCCAGGCAGAACACTGCAATTACCAATGCAAATCTCTAATCCCCCATGAAGGGACAAGGCTGATCGTGGCATTTCCGATAAAGCTCGAGTCAAATACCGCACGGATTTTGAGTGACGTGTGAAGAGATGTAGAGGAGAGGACATCATAGGTTTAAGGGACCATGTGCAATCCACAGGCTCGGCAACCAACACTGGACAACCAGTGACATACAAGGCATAAGAGCAAGGCTGCTGACCCTTATTACCTTGATCGAACCCAACTACTCAGAAGTTATTTCATGCCATTTGGGGTCAAGCCTCAACATCTACACTTTGTATGAGGACATTAACCAATTTCTAAATTACTTGTTAGGAACATGCGTTCTCGTCTATCCATACGAGCCCATACGGGCATTTGTCCCACATCGATCTCGGTCTCACATGGTACTCAACTGAGAATTCCCTTCAGTGACATTAAGACTCCTGCAATTGAAGCAATGGAATACTCATGAAGTACTTGCTTTTGAGCACTGGCTGAATCTGATGCACGTGCTATCCACTCTTGAACATCTTGGGGCTCTGTTGTAGGGCTTGCTAATTCCGTCCTTACTTTCCATCAACCATTCTCTTTCCTTCCCATTTTTCATCTCGTCATAGTCTTCATTTTCTCCCCCTTTTCTTTATCTTGCTCTTCTTTTGTGTCCGAGATCATAACTAAAGGCCCTTCTGTTAAATATGTTCATGCCAGTCCATTTTATTCCATCTATCATTTTCCTGTACTTAACAGAATGTTGTTCGTCGTTTCGTAAGTGGTACCCAAAGGTGACTAAGAAGATATACATGCACAATTCAACCACCTGACTGTATAACGGACGCATAACCACTTTATTATCAAGAGCTGTAGAGGTAGAAGGGAATGTGATGGTGGTAGAAGACCTCAGTGGGTGTGTGGCTGAGATAGCAAATGACAACCAAGGAGTGGGTGGACATGATGGGTGATCAGGATGTGTGGGTGTTGGTAATCAGGGAATGAAGGGGGTGGGTATACTGCAAGTTAACATGAATCATGCTTGTGATAATGAAGGGTTATGTCCGAGTTGAGCTCTAAGTGCAGTGTGTGAGTATGGAGGTGATAGGTGCCAGGAGGTGGTTAAGAATGTTGGTTGTCAATGGCAAAGATCGATTATGTGTTTGGTGAGTGACGAGCTGGTGACTGGTTTTATTAATTTTGTGATCCTAATGGGAGGCCAGAATGGTGATTGTGATTCGTGATTGGTGGTGGGTGGATGAATGTTGCGAGCATGGTGACCAGAATGGATTGGTTGGGTGGATGACAAGTGGTGGTGGGCTCCGAGGATGCCGACTGGCGTCGACCACGACAGGCTCGCGCATAACCATGATGAAAGATGGTGTAAGCAACATTTCCTTCTGTACGTTTTATTTAAATACAGTATCGCATACGCGTTTATGTTGTTGACCCTGACGGGGGGGGGGTGACCGGACAGGCGTTATACACGGTATGCGGCAGGTCCACCCTCGTGAGCTACGTTTGCTCACTAACCCACGCAGGACAATCCACGCCACACAGCACAAGCCACACACGGCAGCACAAGCCACACACGGCAGCACAAGCCACACGCGCAGCACAAGCCTCACGCGCAGCACAAGCCACACGCGCAGCACAAGCCACACGCGCAGCACAAGCCACACGCGCAGCACAAGCCACACGCGCAGCACAAGCCACACGCGCAGCACAAGCCACACGCGGCAGCACAAGCCACACGCGGCAGCACAAGCCACACGCGGCAGCACAAGCCACACGCGCAGCACAAGCCTCACGCGCAGCACAAGCCACACACGCAGCACAAGCCACACACGCAGCACAAGCCACACACGGCAGCACAAGCCACACACGGCAGCACAAGCCACACACGGCAGCACAAGCCACACACGGCAGCACAAGCCACACACGGCAGCACAAGCCACACACGGCAGCACAAGCCACACACGGCAGCACAAGCCACACACGGCAGCACAAGCCACACACGCAGCACAAGCCACACACGCAGCACAAGCCACACACGCAGCACAAGCCCACACGCAGCACAAGCCAACACGCAGCACAAGCCACACACGCAGCACAAGCCACACACGCAGCACAAGCCACACACGCAGCACAAGCCACACACGGCAGCACAAGCCACACACGGCAGCACAAGCCACACACGGCAGCACAAGCCACACACGGCAGCACAAGCCACACACGGCAGCACAAGCCACACACGGCAGCACAAGCCACACACGCAGCACAAGCCACACACGCAGCACAAGCCACACACGCAGCACAAGCCACACACGCAGCACAAGCCACACACGGCAGCACAAGCCACAAACGGCAGCACAAGCCACACACGGCAGCACAAGCCACACACGGCAGCACAAGCCACACACGGCAGCACAAGCCACACACGGCAGCACAAGCCACACACGGCAGCACAAGCCACACACGGCAGCACAAGCCACACACGGCAGCACAAGCCACACACGGCAGCACAAGCCACACACGGCAGCACAAGCCACACACGGCAGCACAAGCCACACACGGCAGCACAAGCCACACACGGCAGCACAAGCCACACACGGCAGCACAAGCCACACACGGCAGCACAAGCCACACACGCAGCACAAGCCACACACGCAGCACAAGCCACACACGCAGCACAAGCCACACACGGCAGCACAAGCCACACACGCAGCACAAGCCACACACGGCAGCACAAGCCACACACGCAGCACAAGCCACACACACAGCACCGTCTGTAGCGAGCGAGAGACGGAGACACACAGAGTGTGCGGGCGTAGGCGGGACACGCGTGCTGTCCCCAGGCTCCGGGCTGCAAACGGATTAAGGGGGGGACGGGGGACACGGCGTAGGCGGCCGAGTGCCGCAACACAACACCAACAATGACAGGCGAGCAGGGCTGCGCACACACGATTCCCACAGTCGGCCCTAAACACTTTAGGGGGCAAGTGCTACTGGGCGAGCGAATATTAAAGGGCAGCATTGTACACCAAGGGCGGTGGTGTGATCAGCAACACACACACAGCCCGGCTGCATTTGTATACCCAAGTGCTTGACGTTTTATACCCCACGCGAGGTACTTACTCATTTACAGCCGAGTCTACCTAGACGAGTCTAAATACGTCTTTCTGCTAACATCGACTGACGGCTATCCGTGGATCCTAATTCAAAAGCCGAGCTGACGGGATATCACCACAGCTCTCCTTCTTTCCACCACAAACGAACAAATGCCCCCGCAAAAGGCGCACGCACACACAACAGGGCACGAGCGAGCGCAGACAGAACACCACCGCGACCATCATCCTCATCATCATCGTCTCTTTTTTGTGTTGTCAGCAACGAAAACCAAAGGACGCCAAAACGCCGAGCAGCAAATGAAGGACCTCGACGCTATCACGCCAATTAAAACGCGAAGGAAAGCGAGGGAGGTGGTAGTGGTAGTGGTGGTGGCGAACAAAAACACCGCTCCATAAACAACGGCGGGCACCGCTCCCGTCCGCCCTGAGGCTCAGGGACGCCGCGACCACATTCCGCGTAGCGCATAGGCGCCTCGCTCCGTGTTGGCGCTCCCCATTGGCCGAGGGCGGCGGCCACGCGGGCGTCGCAGCCAATCACGCGCGACGAGACGGCTCGCGTCGCCCCGTGCGCGCTACGATTTTCAACCCCGAGGCGAAAAAGGCGAAGATGGGAAGAAAAAAAACCGCGAGCGCGCGGACGACGACGACGACGATAACGGCGGCGCCGCCACTCACATTTCACCACCCGGTCGGTGGGGGACAGCTTGCCGCCGTCCTTGGTGGACATGATGTAGGGGTGGGGTGGGGGAGGAAAGTTGCGCTCTGCGCTTTAACGATTCTCTCTCCGCTTCGCACCGCTCTCCGAAAGCGACGCCGCCGCCGCCGCCTCGCCAATTCAAAATGGCGACGCGACGACCACAGTGCGCGGCCGCGCGGTGACGTCACGCGCCGGCGGGATGTACCACCACGACACGCGGCGCGGGGGGGGGGATAGGTGGGGGGTGGTGGGGGGGATAGGGTGGTGGGGGGGATAGGGTGGTGGGGGGATAGGGTGGTGGGGGGGATAGGGTGGCGGGGGGGGGTAGGGGGTGGTGGGGGGGGATAGATAGGGGTGGTGGGGGGGATAGGGTGGTGGGGGGGGGTGGTGGGGGGATAGGGTGGTGGGGGGGATAGGGTGATGGGGGGGGGTGGTGGGGGGGGATAGATAGGGGTGGTGGGGGGGATAGGGTGGTGGGGGGGGGATGGGGGGTGGTGGGGGGATAGGGGGGTGGTGGGGTAGATAGGGGTGGTGGGGGGGTAGATAGGGGTGGTGGGGGGGTAGATAGGGGTGGTGGGGGGGGATAGGGTGGTGGGGGGGGGGATGGGGGGTGGTGGGGGGATAGGGGGGTGGTGGGGTAGATAGGGGTGGTGGGGGGGTAGATAGGGGTGGTGGGGGGGTAGATAGGGGTGGTGGGGGGGTAGATAGGGGTGGTGGGGGGGTAGATAGGGGTGGTTGGGGGATAGGGGGTGGTGGGGGATAGGGGGTGGTGGGGGATAGGGGCTGGTGGGGGGGATGGGGTGGTGGTGGGGGGAGAGGGGGGTGGTGGGGGGGGAGGGGGGTGGTGGGGGGGGATGGGGTGGTGGGGGGGAGGGGCTGGTGGGGGGGATGGGGTGGTGGTGGGGGGGAGGGGCTGGTGGGGGGGATGGGGGGGTGGTGGGGGGGAGGGGCTGGTGGGGGGGATGGTGTGGTGGTGGGGGGGATGGGGTGGTGGTGGGGGCGATAGGGGGGTGGTGGGGGGGATGGTGTGGTGGTGGGGGGGATGGGGTGGTGGTGGGGGGGAGAGGGGGGTGGTGAGGCCACACAAACTCTGAGAGTCACAACCCACAGTTGGACACCCTTAAGGAAGCGGCTTGTCCGGTGCGCGTGCTACAAAGACATCGAGGAGGCACTCAGTATAATAATATTCGGCATGTATAAAGCGTCTAAATGTAACGCCATCTAAAGGCGCTGCACAAGTGCTACTTCATGTGACAAAGGTTAAGCACTGGGAAATCACCAGTTGTCATCTCGCTGCCATTGAGGAAGAGTAATTTCCCGAAACGTTACCTTTTGACACGTGTGTTGAGTTTGCTGTTTGTACTCGTGCAAAAATGCAAACGCAGTATCGCAAAAATAAGTGATGTGGACGGTCTAGCACCTACCATGGGAATGTTGCATTTCCTCCCCCTGAGTCAGGGCCACCAGGTGAGATGCAGTAAGTGAAATCACGATGATTTTTATTGAGACTTGACCCAAGCCGGGTGGTGTAGAACACTACATTATCAGCTCAGGGGGTGCGGTAATAATCGCCCAGGTGCTGTCCCCTAATATTTTATTCATCTCGCACGGTCACATCCTAGGCTTTTATATATATCGCGTCTTCCTCTCGCCAAATCACATCTTTACGTTCACGATCTCGAACAGTTAGCGCTGTAGGGGCGGCTCTATCTTAGCAAAATGTATCCAACTCCAGCTTTGTTGTACGGTGATTGTCAAGGGGGGGCCCAACTCATAGCTTTGGCCACTAGGCGGAGCCAAGGCCCCCCCCTGCCCCCACGCTCGTTACGCTGCTGCCGAAGCCATCCTCCGTACGTTTCAAACAAAAAAGACAAAGATTCCCCGTGTAGCCTTAGCATATTGTAGGGGCAAGTGCTGTTAGCGAGCACACGAGGGGGTGGGTGGTCAACACCACGCCCGGCCGCCTTTGTCTCCCAAGTGGCGATGTTTACACATCGCACCAGGTAGTCATTTGAGGCTGAGACGACCTAGGGGAGGACCAGGACCGGTTCGGATAATCGTCACCGGTGTTGGCCGTGGGCAGGAATCGAACCCGGGTAGTCAGGTTCGTAGCGCTAACCACTGCGCCACCGCTCCCCACTCAACCTTTGTGCATTATGGCAAACATACGTCAGCAGTTAGTTCCCTAAGTGCATCATCATCATCTCTTGTCTTGGGTCACCATTACAGTGGCGTTTGAGCAAATGTGACCGACTGAGAGCAGCTGCAGTGATAGAGAGACAGACAACTGTTGACCGCGTTCGTCCTTATTAGGACTCATCAGTACAGAGTCGTCTCCAATAACACTGCCTCAAACATTAACACAGATTTCATAGGTAACTTTTCTAATAATGGCCCTTCGTAGCATACATGAACGAATGTGTTGAGTTTGTTTTGTTATTATGCTTGTACACCACTTGCCAATGCAGATATCATCACATATATTTATATAGTCAACATTGAATGGTCACTGCTGCAAAGTTTGCCCCTGGACATCATATGTAAACTAACCTATTTTTTTGTTTTACCAAGGTAAGACCCACTGAGGTATACAAATCTTTTTCAGAAGCGACCTGACCATAAATGATAGCTTAACGAAGTGGCTTATCGCGTGGAAATTTCTAGCAGCCAAATTGTCTCCAAACGCACGTTGATTCTAAATGTGGAGTGAAAAACGGAGGACACGGAGACAAATCCACGCGACCACGGGGAGAACATGCAAACTCCAACTATACAGGCGTCAAGGTCGGGACATCTGTGAAAAAAAGCTTCATAGCTCATCACATTCCTCCAGTATAATTACATATTATGGAAATATAACCCACGGCCTCCTGCATACCAGACGGGGGCGTTAGCATCTCCCCACTCGCACACTATTTAGCACTCCTATAGTACCGTATATGATGGGTTTGTCATGTCGTTCACAGCTTTGATTTACAGATTTCATCCATGCCAGCCATCAATTCCCCATAACCCCTTCCAATGCCTCCTCGTTGCAGGTGGGGGGGGGGGCAATTGTGGGCGTGGCCTGACGGGGAGGAGGGCGGGGCTTGACGAATGGGGTTCGATGCAGTTGCCTGCCCGTCGGCACCTACCATGTGGCGCGAGTTTCGCGAGGGGTGTTCGCAGTTGTTAAAGAACCCTTCGAACGCTCGCTCGCTGGAGTGGAGTAGGAGGAGGAGCTTGTCCGCGGCGTCAAGGAGGGAGCGCGCTCGCCGTGTCCCCCACGTGCCAGCAGGGGCCAGCGCGGTGTGGACACGCTGGGCGCACGCACGTGTTGTGTAACGAAGCAGTACACGGGGGACTGGGCCCCCTACCCACCCACCCACATCCACCCCGGCCCCCCCCACCCCGTTTAAGAGTACACGCTTGCACAGATTTAGTACACGTGGTTTGCCAGTGGTCACTTTGACTTTTTGTTTTTTTTTGCTGAAAGGAAATTATGAACGTGGTTATATTTTAACGTGAAATGCAGCGTTAGATATGGGATTTTTTTTATTGAGTTGAAATTTTTTTTCGTGTTAGTTACAAATTTGATCGTGAGGTTTTTTCCCGCAAACAGTAGCAGTGATTTTTTAAAAAAAATTTGCACATTTTTGTTGGCCTATACTTTACATTTAAATGTGACCAAAACCAGGAAGTTGGCATTCCACCAATGCACTTGGCTAAAATCTTGCCAACCAACTCGTCGTGAGCGGGGAATTTCCCGACGTTTGCGCTTAATGACACAATTAAGCTCATGGTTACAGAGTACACACATATCCAAGCGCCGTGGTGTTTGTTTTAATACTTCAAGAGATTAAGGGGGAGATTGAGAAATAACTACGACAAGAACCAACAAGAACCAGGAACAACCAGACGAATGCGAGAATGGAAGGTACCGGTTGCAGTCTTATCGAGTGTGCGACTTTCTAAATGGAATGTTTTAATTATTGAAAGTATAGGGTAGGGGGGGCTTTGACTTTAATTAAGAGTATGGTTTGGTATTGACATTTTGTGTAAAGGGTTCGCATGAATCACCGGGGTCTTGTAGGTTAAAATAAAAGTATTGAAACGGAAACGTCACGTAAAGATGCTTCAGTCTACAGTAATAGCCAAGGCACGACTGCATTTCAAGCGAACTCGTTAATAACTTATCTTTAAAGTGAGATACTCTGTGACGTGTGTTGCCAATACTCGCACGTAATTGTATGAAACGTAAAAAAAATGTTTTTTTCCCCTCTTAAGAGTTTGTAATGTTACGTCTATGCGGATCGATACATACAGCAGCAGACAACATTGTCCATCAATATCAGACGCAACCATGTATCATCAGAGTAGAATCTACAGATGTACGAAGTATAATGGGAACATTTGTCAATGTGGTGATGCAAAGCGTGCTGCCCTTTTTAATGAAACCATAAGTGATAGGTGTTAACTAAGTTTGCTTGGTGTTTTAGCATTCCAAAAAACACGATCGTTAACCATGGGTTTTCCCCCTTTACGCTGCGATACAATGTACATCACTCACATCATTTGTATTGATCTGTTTTGGAGGTTGAGTTGCCACATTTTTCACCTTTGGGGTGGTAGGTCGTAAGGGTTTTTTTGAAGGCTCAAATCTCGCCCACTCATAACGCAACACCAATTACTGGTGGCAATTACAGCACAGTCAGAAAATGCTACTTACTATACTTAAAAAAACTAAGTTTACTGGCTCCACGCTCTTTTGAGCATTTATTTGTGCTGTTGCACCGAGAGAAAATTCCAATGTCCACATGGCAATTGTCAATTCATTACACTGTGTAACAAAAACATTTTTTTCGTTCCTGGGTAGTAAGTGTTATTTTCTAATTGCTTATGCCTAGTACAGAACATGGTTATTATTCCCCACAAACTTTACATGTGACCAGAACAGTGATGTTTTTTTAATTTACATATTTTCAATGATAAAACGTATGCATTTGTGTCATTGTCATAAAAAAAAATTATCCAGCAGTGGAACTGCTGAACCAGCTGATCCAGCAAGATCGAAACGTCGTGATATATTATTTTTCGTTTTATTTTTCTACCTATGTGACTTTACCGAAAGAACCAAAGAGTATGGATTCCTGTAGTCATGTATGGATTCCAATCAAGATTGATGAGTACTTATGGTTTGCCAACTTTGAAATGGAGAGTTGAGTATCATCAATTTTTTTAAGCGGTGGTTCATTTTGAAGGTGGCTATTATGTTGTGTTAAAGGTGGATGTTATTTTTCCAATTGGTTATATGTTTAAAAGAGCAGTGGGCTCAGAATGGAGGCTTGTGGGACACCATAGTACAGGAGTTTCTGAGATGACAATCCAGATATGGAAACGTAGACGAAGCGATTTGAGAGACAGGAGTAGAACCAGGAGAGAAGTGTTCTGCAGATAGCGACAATGTTTTGGAGGCACTCCAGTGGGATGGAATGGTCACTGGTGCTAGAATCAGCAGTGAAGTCTAGGATAATCAGAAGTGAAAAGTTTCCACAATCAAGAGGAGAGATTAACAGTGAAATTGAGTAATTTAAGATTAATGGTCCTCATTATAATCAGCCATGGTCAATCCACTGCTTTACGGAACTGTCACCATCTCTCACAATCTTGTAATGTAATAGTTCACCTAGTACCTGCACATGTGCTGAATTTATCGCTCCATATCCACAGCGGACTGCCACTACATCATTATTCTTGACCATCGGTCATTATACCTTCTAGCGTTGTGTCCTGCCATAGTCCACTTATTTTTATTAACAGTTTGCATGATGCTGATAACCTGCATATGTTCTGTCATACAGTACACGTTACTATTTCTTGCTTATCAATTGCATTCCAAGAATGCATTTCTCCACGCTTCTTTTGGCAATTTGCATTTAGCATTCCATTTTTTGTCAATAATGACCATGTTTCTAAACAGAATCTCAAGAGATATGTTGTACTGCTGTAATGTTGCTTCCTTTGGTAGAGTTTCAACTCACTGTGCTGATCTGCATGTGTCCATCCATTGCCCATATTGTGGTTAGGCAACCAACATGATGGGATGTTTTATTGTCAGTAGAATACTCAGTGATTTTTTTTTTATTCCAGCAGATTCATAATAAAACAAAGCTTTTACAGGACATTCCGTTTTTTTTAAGTGACACACTGCTGGCACATTTGTGGGATACGGCACGCCTCTAAGAATGTGCAACTGTTTCAAATGTAATTTAATTGAATATAACGGGAATAAAAAATGTAACGTGACGCACAAAATGTTGGCAAATATGAAACTGCCCTTTTTTACCATAATGCTGTCCTTGACTAAATTTGAAGTGAAATGCAGATTTGTGTTTATCTCAGGAATCTAAACATTTTTTGAAAACATTGTAAGGTATATTTGTGATATGGATCACAGTATTAAATTATTGGAGCGTTTAACACATGGTGTTTGTGTACTGATAATAAAATATTAGCAAGAGGAACCCTTCATTTGGTGGCAACTTTATTTCTGCAGATAGAGGAAATACTGCACTGTATTTTAAGAAGGAAGCATTTTTGTCTCCAACTTCCCATGGGGTATATATATACTTTTTGTACAACCTCTAGACTTCCATTTTACTATCCATATGTCATAGATGTATGATGCTCTTCTTCTCAGGTATGATTCATATAGGTAATTGAAGAAGTGATACGTTGATGTACACCAACATATGTCTGCTGTGGAAATCTCCAGAATGAAAATTGACAGCCCATGGCAGATCACTCGATCTCAAAAACAGTAGTGTGAAGATGGCCTGTCACTTAGGGGGTGCAACAGCCATTAATGAATCAATCAAATCCTTTAGAACACAACCAGCCCTAACTGTCCACGTACCCCTACCAGCATATACTTTGAATAATTCGTGAAAAACTTACATCTTAATTCCACGTATTGAACACGTAAGACATATGTCTAACACTATAATGTAATGACGGTTTACTAAATATTTTGCAATTTAACGTAGCACTGCATGAGCCTACCCCACGTCACGTCGTGATTGTCTCGCATAGCCCCTGGGGTTTGCACGGCGTGTGCCACGCGTGTGAGGGGCACCCGCGAGGTGGCCTTGGGGACGTGTCGCTATCGTCATGGGGGGTAAACGACACGTAAAAAGTAAGCACGTTCTTTTAGTAAATTGTGAAAAATCAAACTGTGCAGTAATCGTAAACACACATTGCCTATAATATATCTTTTATCCCGATTTGTAATGGGGGGCAGGGGGTACGAAGCAAAGAGTTGAACCACTGTTCTAAAGGACTGGTGGCGTGGCACAGATTCGTGTAATGAACCAGGTACCTGAGTTCAATTCCTGGCCATGGCTAACATCCAATGCCAGACATAGAGCTGGTTCTGACCCTGCTCTTTACCAACTTAAGCTGATCTGTGTGGTGAGGTATGGTCGAACAGCCCCTGTAAACGACATTTGCAAAACACATCACCTGGTTATGCATTACTGTCGAGCAAAAAAAATAGATGTAACGAGTACATATTCAGTGCGGATATCAGTCCACCGAGCAGCTCCAAGGAAACACTATTTTTGCTTCAAGCATTCACCATAAAATCCTGCTTATCTGAGTTACAGGAAGTTGTCTCTCTTTTCTGTCTCCGTGTTGACAGGGACAGGCAGCTCTTCCGTGGTCATCCTGTTTGACGAGAATGGATACCAGTGGGGCGACTACATGGTCCAGTTATTAAAAGCGAAACAAACATGCCTTCGCTGCCGCAAAATATCGCTCGACGGCACGCCGCTGTCACGTGGCGACTCATCCGCCATCGGAACCGCTTCCTGCCGTCTGCTAATACTCACGGACGGCCTGATGGAGGGCCTCACAGACTGGCCCATGACCAGGTACGGCATTACCGTTTGCGGCATCTCTCCCTTTGCCTCTTCCCTGACGGCCGCTGATTGATGTTCTCCTTATTTTGGTGCCATCAACTTCTGGTCACGTACAATTGTTCTCCATTTTGTCCCCGGTGGTGGTAATTGCCCAAGTTGCCAGTTGCTTCATGCAGACCTGGTTCGCGCTCCCCTCGGATGGGGTGGACCAGTAGAGCGGCAGAGTGGGCCAACAGAGCAGCGATATACCGCTAAGGAGAGGCTGGGCCAAATGGACATTTGGTTTGGCAGTGCCCACCCAAGCACCCCCTAGCCCCAGCCCTGGCTATAAATGTAACCAACAGTTTCAGTAGAAACTAGGGTTGTCACCCGTGTGTGGCTAACCATCGAACAAAGAAGGTCACTGCATCGCGCGCTTTCAGATGCACTTCTGCGGTCCTTTGGAATGCTCTTCATTCCGATATTAGGAATCTGCTGGAGCTATACACTTTTCAATCTAGATCGAAAATTCATTTCTTGAGAGCTGCATTTTGTGTTTAGTTTGTTGCCCTACCCCCGCACCTCTGATTAGCACGGTTGGCTACGTACGGTACAAAAGAAGTTCAACATAAATAGAGTACTGTAGTATGGACGGTTAATATTTCAGATGGTTCTCCTCAGCATTGTTTTGACTTGTCTCTCTAAATATCTTGCGAGACATTGACGCCATTGTCCCAAACGCGTATTTATGACTTTGAAGTACAATACATTCGTTCATGTTTTATTAAATTTAAAAGCCTAGGTGCAAACCACAGGTGATTTAACTGATGTGTGGAATGTGGAGGCAAAATGTGATGTGCACCATCGCTGGGCTCCCTAGCAGACATGTGTTGAATGTAAGCACCACCTGATTGGGGATGCTACCTTGAAGCCAATGACTCAGGTTTCCACTTATACTGTACCAATAATCTCCAATGTGTGTAACAAAATAAATAAGCCTGACAATGCGGCTCCTTAGCATATCTGTCTCTCCACATGAGTGCATAATTTCAACAGTGGTTCAACACAATCAAACACTGGGCTGGCTTTGACATAGTGTCTCATCAGCAGACTCTAGCTTGCTTGAACCAATGTAGCTGAGATTATTGAAATGATGCACTCCCAGAAGGTTATGTGGCTGATGGGTTTGTGTAAAAAGTATTGGATTTTCACGTGGAGGGCCAGATATATGCGAATAAGGCATATTGTCTGCTTATTTATTCTTACATATATTCCCCACAACGATGCTTAAGGTTATTTTGCGTTATATATACGAATGTGTGCAGTTTGAGACTGATAAACTCAAGGTAAAGCTTGAAGCAATAAGTTAATCTGAAGATCTAATTGCTTCACCTTACCCTTGATTGACCCCTTGAGAATATCCCTTCTTCCTCATAGCTACTATTCTAGTCCTCTTTCGATCAGAGCTGTTTTGACAGTTTTAACTTCATCACTCTCACTTGAAAATGCTCTTTTGTTAGAATTGACCAGCACGATACCCTTCATGAAGGAGTCATGTTCGCGTGAGAGGCAGTTTAAATCGGCTTTCAAATGTAACTGGGACAAGAGCACTTCAGATTAAAATTTTCAGGAAATATATCAATGACTGGACTAAATGGAAATTAGTTTTTTTGTTACAATAAAATGGAATCCTTTCACTTTTTAGTTATTTACTACTAAGAATGTGTTTTTCTCTGCCACAATGGAAGCTCAGATTTGAAATTGAAATACTGTCATCATTTTTAAATAATCCACTCGTGGTTACAGCACACAAGTGTTCAGTATTGCCATAGATGCCCGGTGTGCATATGAAATACAAAGGCAAATATCTCCCGTATAGCCTTAACAGACTGTAAGAGCAAGTACTGTTTGCGAGCACCTATAAAGGCCGGCGCTGCGGCATACGAGGAGCTAGGTGGTCAGCACCAGCCTTTGTCTCCCAAGTTGTGATGTTTACACACTACACCAGGTACTCATTTGAGGCTGAGTCAACCCAATTTAGGGGAGGCCCAGGAGCGGTTCAAATAATCGCCAATGGTGTTGACTGTGGGCAGGAATCGAACCCGGGTTACCGGGTTCTTAGCGCAGCATGATAACTCCTGTAAATATACCACGCATGAAATAGCACACATACACAGACTGTGCAGTCGCAAGGCTCCCACCAGACTGATTTATACACACATTTAATATGAAAATAGAATAAAATCTAACTTTCAATAATTGGTTTACCTTATATGCAATAACATTATACGTTTGCATGTGAAGGTCTGATTATGGAATTACGTTCGGTACATGAACTAGGTGGTGGAAGTGTTATGATGAAGGTATTTTATCGTACTTTGTTGTGCTACTGATAGTCACCAAATGCTGTTAATTTTCTCCCTAATGCAGCCACATCGGGCGTTTTCCTCTGTTTTCATTTAAATAAGAGGAATGATTTAAATATCGGTCAAGTCGCCTTTCTGTTCATTTACAGTGTCACATTGTGAAATAAACTTCTTGTGCCATCTGTTTTTACGCTTACACGATACACAGACACCACAACTGCACCTCTGTTTAGCACTGTTGGCTACGTACGGTACGAAAGAAGTTCAACATACACATACATACAAACATAGCTTTGTTGCACTCATCACTGACATTTACAAAATAAAGATGTGAAATTAAAAGTTTACATTTCGAAATGTTCACGACAGAAGATAAATGGTGGACAGGGAAGAAGCCAACACGATTGCAGGCGTGACGCGTTGGAACTTCCCTGATCTCGGAAATCACGGCGGTAATAAAACTTAGTTCCTGGAAATGTCACTCCAACGTGAACCCGTACCTTTAGTGTTTGACCCTCGGCAATAATGGTTGCATAATTGTTAGCTCTTTTCCTATATATTTACAGTTTGAAACGTGATAGTTGGGTTTTTTTTCTTACGTGATAGTTGTTTTTTTGCTTTTCTATGATCTCCAGAGGCTAGTTAGTGTGCAGGTGCAGTGCTCGGTCCATTAGTCACTTGGCCTCTGTCCAACGTGATAATTAATGCTAATTAGGCTTCCACACTCTAGTCCAGCATGATATCATGGCTTATACACATATGACGACGATGATGATGACATAGCTGATGAAGGTGATAAATGAAGACGACGATACTGTTAACAATGTGTCCTTGATATTGATTTTGCTTCTCCCGACGATGAAAAATATGTAGATGATGCAAAAGAGGTAGTGTTCCTGGAACAGTGTGTTTTTTGCACGTGGGAGGAAGCACGGAACACCCCTATACAAAACAGGCATAAAATGGGGCAACACTCGGAAGCACAGATACATTCAAGCATCCATTTGTATGCAGAATTACCTCCCCCCGGGCTATCCAGCAACCCAGCGGGTTGAGATGTTTTATACATCTCCAGAATATCCACCAACCCATTCCTCAAAAATAAGAGGGGATTGTAAGGAGCACTGCACCAGTGACTCAATGAGGACTGAGTCGGCCTAGGAGATGTTCAGAGCAGATTCTGAATGCCGCTCAAACTGGCCGGCAGTGAAACCCAAGTCGTGGGATTCGTAGTGCGGTGTACGAACCACTAAATCTCACACGTTACACACACAAACACCTCCACACCCATGCACAGGTGCACATGTACATGCACACACGCACTAGTATAATCTTAAACAGGTTCAGACATGCAATGCACGCACACGCAAACAGTTCCCCGTGTGACCTCACAGACATAAGCCACAGGTGGTGGACTTGGATGGTGGGACGAGGAGGGGAGAATTATGCTTCGAAGTTGGCACTCTTGAGTTTGATTCCCCAGATACAGCTAACATAAGTCGTGAGTGATAACTGAACTTGTCCTTTGACACCCCCTCCCCTTTTACGAACCCGCATTGGTCAGTATGGCGAAGTATGGTCAAGCAACATACACACAATTTATATTGTGTAGGGAGGCTTTCTTCCAGCAGTTGATTTGGAACAAAGCTGTACATTTGTCCTCGAGTTGTTTTGCTTTGACCAAAGGGGTAAACAGCCATTGGCTGTCAGTATGTTGACTATCGATTTAGGCATTTCTGTTATCCAGGCGTGCCGTCCTTGTAGGCTCTATTACTGTCCGTTTTCATTATTGAAAATGTAATTTACACCACTTTATCAAGACAGTGCCTTTGATCTCTGTATATGTGGCGAATGGTGGCGCAGTGGCTCTTACACTGTGGTATGAACCTGGTCACCTCCAAGTTTGTTTGATTCCTGGCCCTGACAAAAATCAGTAGTTGCCTGCACAGTACTGAGCATCTTTCTACGGATACTCCATCTGAACTTCCGAAATGGTTCATGGTGTGGTGTGCGCTTGGGAGGATAAGGATGGGTGGATCAGGATGGGAGCACGATTTGCTTTCCTGGCGCGTTAGTGAGGCGAACATGCAGACATCAATACGGCCCCCGATACTGATTAGCTGTGTGAATCGGGCCAAAAACTACTTAATGAATGATGTGGGAACACGCATGTGGACGGAATGCCGAAATTTCCACCTTATGCTTTGAATTCTGAAGGGAAAAAACGTTAAAGTAAAAATGCACCGTGAATCGGGCCTTGTGTGTTCATCCATCTGCATTAAAAGCAGTTGCTTTCATGATACCCTCAAAACACATCATTTGACTGCGGTTATTACAAACTAATTGTGTTTACAATGAGGTCTGAATTGAATTTGATGTTGTATCACATTTCAATTAAAACGCATCTGGAAATAAAATGTATTTTTATGCACTGATGTGTATTGGAATACAGTACAGTCATTTGTTGATGTACTGGCTTATCAGTAATTCCACTCGTTGCCAGATTGCTTCTATTTTCAACAACGTATACCACTGATCTGTGCTTGAGCACACTTTTATAATCCATCCTCTGCAATAACAGTGACCATTATCCAACCACAGTGCAGTGTTCAGATTACATTTTTCATAGGATGACAGACTCCCATCATGTTGTGATGCTAACTAGCA